AGCAAAGATGTCAGCTTGAGGCCTGAGGTGCGCCTGACCCAAGCCATGGTATTTTCAATAACCTCATATACATGTGAAAGCTGGACAGTGAATAAGGAAGACCATAGAAGAATTAATGCATTTGAGTTGTGGTGTCAAAGGAGAATATTCAAACTATCAAGGGCTGAGAAAAGAACAAGTACAACCAGAGAGCTTCTTGGAAGCCAGGATGACCTGACTACATCTGTCATACTTCAGACATAGTCTCAGGAGGGACCAGTCACTGGAGAAGGATATTATATTTGGTAAGGTGGAGGGTCAAAGAAGAAGATGGATTAGCACAGTGACAGCATCAATGGAGTCAAGCCCAGCAACGATTGTGAGGTTGGCCCAGGGCCCGGCACTCTTTTGTTCTGTTGTGCATAGGGTCCATATGAGTCGGAAACGACGCTATGGTACTTAACAGCAGGGGGCCTGGAACAACTGGACCGTAGCACTACTCTGAGGCTAGGCTTTCATGGGGGCAGCTAAGACCTTCACCCAGAATTCACAGGTGGTTCAGCTGCTAACCCAAAGACTGGAGTTCAAGTCTACTCAAAGGTACCTTGAAATAAAGGCCTAGTGACCTGCTTTTGAAAATTCAGCCACTGAAACCCTACGGAGCCCAGTTCTATTCTGACACATATGGGTTGCCAAGAGTCAGAATTAACTTGACAGCAGCTGATGGGTTAAAACTTGTGCCCATCTTTAGAAGTCAGCCTTTCCAAGGCCACCTGAGAAACTTTGCCTAGCCTGGGTCACTTGGACCTGTTGATGACCCCGGTGACAGTGTTCATAGTAACAGCTGTCGCCAAGCTCCTACTATGTGTCATCTTGCGCAGAACTCCAGGATCTCAATCTCATTTGATCTTTCCTGCAGGACAGGTAATGGTCTACCCATTGTATAGCTGAGGAAGTGTGTGACCCACACTGCACACTCGAACCAGTTTAAGTGATTTGACTGAGGCTGCAGAGCCACTGAGTGGTACAGGTGGGACTGGATTTCCACGTTGGGTTCTTACCCCCAGTCTCACATGCCTCTCTGTGGGGAGGAGTTTCCGTTTAATGGGTCTCGGGACTCTTTACAGTGTGGCCAGGATCTTGGTTGCTACATGGGGCTGGGGAGGGGTGGCCTGACCCCAGAAAAGCTTTGAAGAGAAGGTGGTACAAGTCACCACTGACTGACTACTGTTCAGCTTCTTGGAGATGAGTGGGAAGATGTCACAGTGGTGTGGTGCTATACCCCCCAGTGGGCTGGGATGTTCCTTTCTCTTCCTGTCACCCACCTGCACTCGCTGATTGATGCTACAGAGCTCCCAGGAAGAGGGGCTGCAGGTAGCAGTTTGAGTTTTGCTGAGCGTCAGCTAGCCACGGCCACCCCTACCACGAGGCCCTTTCTAGCTCCAAGTTCCTGCCACCCAAGACACCAACTCTACAGAGGGACAGTCAGTACAGACGCTGGACCTGGCTGCCAGGCCATGTTCCTACTGCCAAGACAGTGGGACAGCGAGGCAGGGACCAGCCCAGCTCTACTTCTGATTTGGGCCTTCCCTAGCCTACAGTACAACGGGGGCAGTGCTTAGCACAACAGACCGGACATCTACCGTGGAAGACAAGTGTCTGTGTGCATCTGTTAAGGTGTTACATGCCCCTTGGGACCTGTATCATGCTGGGACAGGGAGACAGGGGAAGACGGAAGGGCCAGGATAGGGGAAGCCATCTGCTGGTCCTCATTCCCTGGCTGGGTGGGTATGAAGGGCGCACTGGTGTCCAGGTTCCTTGTGCTTGGAGCTTGCAGCCCAGCGGGGGACGCAGGTCTGAGGTCTGGAGTTCTCTGGGAAAGGGAACAGCCTGGCTGCTTGGTGAGCAAGGAGCAAAGCTTCCCTGGGTGCTTCTGCCGTGGGCAGGGGTGGACTGTTGTTGTATGTTGGCATGGAGTCCATTTGTGCAGAGTAGAACCGCTCTACAAGGTGTGTGCACCTGAGACTGTGGAAACAGACTGCCAGGACTTTCTTGCAAGGCACCTCTGGGTGGTTTCAAACTGCCAACCTTTCATCAAGTAGTCAAATGCTTAACCATTTGCACGACTCTGGGACTCCTTGTGGGGGTGGGGGGGCATGCTACACGTGCTTTCAGTAGACATAGGTGGTGAGTCTCTGCTACCCACATTAGGCGCTTGGTATCGAGGTGGGACAGTCCAGATACTCTGTGGTGAGAAGCAGGATGTATTCAGGGATGAACGCGCAGCATCCCGGGGGGCTGACAGGTGGAGCCAGGAGCAGGGCACTCACCAGTGTCGTGGATGAACCTCTCAATCTTGGACTGCATGCCCCAGTAGCGGAACTCCACCTTGCAGAGCTTGTAGGCGCACATGATGGGGAACACATGCTGCTTGTACTCCTCGATCCAGTTGTCGGAGAGGGGCCCCCGCTGGGTCTTGGTAGAGTGAAACAGCTTGGGGTCCTCTTCTGTCTTATACTCATTCGGGGGGACGGGGTCCTTGACAATGTCGATGAAGTCTGTAGGAAGACAAGGATCATGGCCACCTCTGCCCAGCCCTCCTGCCATGTCCCCTTGTGGACTTTGAGAGGAGGCATCTCTGAGCCCCACTGTGAGCCCCACTGGTGGCCCTTAGTTACGGCAGCCAGCAAGAGGGTACCCCACACCCATCCCAGGTGGTCTGGGAGGCAGCTCCTGGGGTCAGGCATGTCCCTGCTGACATGCCAACACAATGCCATCTCTGCCTGGGACCTGGGGACCCACACTGGACACTGATAGCTACTGAGCTCAGTGTGACCCACATGTGCATGGTGACCAGCACATGGCCGTTCTAAAAGCTTCTCAAATCATTGTCAGTGTTTAGTAATTAAGACAATTCACATGAAAATTGTGGTTTTCAGCTTCTCTGGGAAAAGAATTAAGGAATGAAGCCTGGAGCCTGAATGAGCAGGAGGGGAAGAAGCAGAGGCTACCTACCTTCAAGGGGATGGGATGGACCTGTCCTCCACAATGCCCACCCACCTCTGCCTCACTCCTGCCCACCACCTGAGACGGGCCCTGGTGAGTGGGCACACCGTGGACCATGACAGAGGGACCTTGGTGTACATGTCAGGAAAACTGGCTGAGGATGCCTGTCTTGTGACTTTGCCCCCGCCCCAGACCAGACCAAGGGGAGAGCCCAGACCCACACTCTGGACTGGCTTCTGCCTACATGCCCTGGCGGGGATGGGGAAGTACCACATACCGATCATCAGCTGGCTCTTTTCCACAGGAGAGAGGCTGAACACATTGGCATTTTCTCCAGCATCGGTTTTATAGAACGTTTCGATGTCGATGGAGAATTTCTCCACAAAAGGGCATGTGAACCTGGTTAGGAAGGAGAGCATTTCCAGGAGCTGCCAAGAGCTGTACCATGGGAGAGCTGGCCAGGGTCAGCGGGGGCCTGGGCAGGGAGTAGGACCTGTGCTGGGGGCTCTGGTTCAGGTGGGAAGTGAGACACATCTGTACATCTGTCTCAGTCCCTCCTGGGCCTTTACCTTGTCCCATAACAGCCATGGTCATGGGGCGGGGGGGGGGGGGGGGGGGGGGGGGGGGCAGTGAGGGGGGTGCACTGCTTCAGGAAGGCTTGTGTGCTCGCACCCTACGTGTAAGTCAGAACACAGAACATGCACATGCCCCCCAAGTGGGAGGGCTGAATCTGCACCCCTGTCCTCAGTGTGGCATGTCCCCAATGCCCAAAGCCTGGTAACAAACAGGACAGTGTCTTTCTCCACAGGGATGGGAGAGCTCAGGGGACAAGCTATACACCCTTACCCATGTGGGACAGACCTCTACCCATCCCCACCCAGCAGAGCTTCTGAACGTCTGGGGCACAGAGTGAAGAATCCCTTCCGGGCAGAACCCACAGGGCCCCTTGCTCAATTTGGCGTAAGGAAATGTGGCATATAGCTGAAATCTCAGGGTGAGGGGACCGCTGCTGTCTCCTGCTCTGGGTCCCCTCTCAGTCTGCTGCTTCTCAGCAGGCTTCCTGTCCTGGCCTTTTTCAAATGAGTTTGAATCTCCTGAGCCTTCACCAGATGGCAAAGGGTCTTACTTGATGGTCTCCCACCAAAGACTGGAAGGCATCTAGGGTGCACCCTGCCCTCTCCTCCCGATGCCTTGAGCAGGGCCTGAGGGTCTTCAAGGAGCCAGAATGGAAGCTAAGTTCTCCTGGTGTGAGAATAGGGTGTGCCTGGAGTCCCAGCTCAGGGTCACCTAGTTTAGGTTTAGGAGTGTACCTAGAGTCCCAGCTCAAGTAAGTGTGTCTCACCTGGTCCGGGTGTAGGGGTAGGCATTCCAGGACTCCTCTACCACCCGCAGGGCTGCCTTGGGCAGGACAGAGCGGAACCAGCTAGGAATATGCATGCCCACGTGGTACACCTTGTGTGTGTACTGCCCAGAGCCCCCAGGGCCATCCGAGTATGGCCGGTTCTCCAGGATCTCCACGCCGCTGCCTTCACCAAATGTCTCATTGCGACTCTTCTTCTGCAGAAACAAAAGTCCACACGTCTCCAGAGGGCACCAGGGACACTGGCAAGAGAGACAGGGCTTTCTGCAGGAGGGGTGGGGATGAGATGGGCTTGACACATGTGGTCACTCCTCTGGGTTTTTCTCAGGACCTTCCAGGTCCAGGCTCCGGGGCACCAAGTCTCATATGGAAGTCCAAAGAGGCCATGGCACTCCCGGCCCCACCACCCAGAACTCTCTCTGAACTAACTTTGAAGGGCAATGAAGAGCTTCTAAACTTGCCTGTGTTACGATGCACAGCTTGGAGCAACCAGGACCGAAGAGGTTCAACCATACACTATATGTGGGTGAATTCATGCCATGTGGCATAGAACTCAAGAAAGTGGATAGCAAACCAAACTGTCAAAACCACTTCCTTCCTCTCATAGTCACTAAGACTGAAGAAAGAGCAAACGTGGGAGGTGAGAGGAGGCCTGGAGACAGTGTCAGAAATATGACGCCTGGGTCATCTCTCAGGGCCCTTGGCCACAATGGCCCTTACAAGTCTCCAAAAGCTTAGGTTTCTGTTCAAGCTCAGCATCTGTTTCCATGGTGATGTGACGGCATCACTAAGGGCATCTTCGGTCAGCTTCCAGAACAGCAGGTGTATGTACACCCACTCACACAAGTACACCCACACATACATACATACCCACATGCAACATGCATGCATCCATGTGCACACAGCCACCAAACACACACACTCGTACACACACAGGCACACTCCCACACACTCCCCCACATGAGTGTACACACACACACTCATGTTCACCCCCACACACCCACAACTGTGTGTGCAGTCACAGGACTCCCAAAAGCACAACTCTGCTGCTTCTCCCACACTTGTTCCCACTGCACTGCCTCACTGCTGGGTCCCTTCAGAACAGAGACGAGGACTTGCAGGCCAGGGGACTCAGGAGTGAAGCAGGGGTCCCTCAACCCTGGCTACACGGAAGCCTCCTGACCTTCCAGGCAGACCTCGGCATGAGCCATCTGTTCATCCCATTCCTGTGAGCGAGCCCTGATGGTTTCACACTGCCTGACAGGTGAGCTCTCACCTTTCAGGGGGTCCTAACTGCCTTCCACCCAGCCTCTCCACGGCCAAGGCAAGCCTTCCTTAAGTAGCATGATTCATGGAATGTGGCTGACTCTGCGGGTAGGCTGACCACCCTTGCCCTAATCTTCTGTCCACCAGGTGACTTAGGTGCACCTGTGTGCGTGTGGGGAGGGTATAGAGCTAGGTAGTACAAAAAGCCCAGGCTTTAGGGTCTGGCAGGAATATCTGGGGTGGGGGTGGGGGGGTGTCTCTGCTCCAATAGCAAAAGTTGTTGCTTCACAGAAGGTAAAAGACGGTGGAGCAGGTGCTCTCTAAGCCCTCCGTTCCAGCTAGGGGGCACAGACGAGGACACGTGTGCTGCAGGGGCCTGATCCTTAGGGACACAAGGGTCACAGAACTCAGCAGGGGAGGTTGACCAGGTCCACTGTCACTCTACTATCAGGTCCTACTGAGACCTGAGGCTGTTTGGGAGAAGCCACCAGGCCACAGAGCTAGTGAGGAGAAAGCACAGACCCGAGGTAGCCAGTTCATGGAAAGAGCAGGCTCCAGGGTGTGGTGGGGCAGGAGAGGAAACTGGCAGGTCCTGGACAACCCTGAAGGTGCCCAACCATCACCTCAGAGCTGTCCAGGGTCCTGGCCCCCTCCCAGCCCCTATTCTCAAACACTTCATAGGAGGTGGGTGGGAGAACTAACATGGGAGTTGTGACACATTTGTCCCATGAGCTACCACCAGGATGGAGACAGGGGTCTATGTGCGAGCCAGTAGGTCACACAGAGAAGGCGGCTGGAGCGCTGGAGGAACTGGAGCAAAGAAGGGCATTCTGGGAGTGGCAGGATCTTGGTCAAGGCTGACGGTGGGTGGGTGGGTGTCCAAACATACCCACTGCTCCAGAGGGTTTCTGAGGCTCAGTCTTTACGGGAGCAGATTTCCACATGTTTGTTCCCGGCTGATGCTCTAAAGAGGCTAGCATACATGACAGATAAAGGGTCAGAGAGGTCCCATCACTTGCTCATGGCCTTTTCACTAGTAAAAGTCAGAGTCAGTGTGACCCCAAGGCCAACACTCTCCAACACACCATGGGGAGCCTGGTCGTAGAAGGAGCCGTGCGGCCACCCGGAAGAGCTGCATCCCACCCTCATATGCCTGCGTGGGGGGCGGAGAGCTCCACATCTACTGAAGATAACAGTAGTGGCTCCTCACACACACACACACAAACACACACACCCCAACTCTGCAGAGAGCACTGAGTGGCAGGTGTAACAGAGGCGAGCTGCACAGGCTCGGCAGGATGCCTCTGCAGTGGAGGCAGCAGAGGCGACCACGACAGCACTGGGAAGGTGGGGGGCACTTGGGCTGTGTCTGCCGGGCAGGGAGGGGACGGAGGATGTACTGTGATCACCAGGCACTTCTAAGTCAGAAATACCACCAACCAAAAAGACCCAAGGCCACCATTCAGATGGCACTGCTTGCATCTTGGATGAAGCTAGGCTGGATGGCCCGGGTCTCACCCCTATAGGGGCCATGTCCCCGGGACAGCAGACCTATGGCCTCACCCTGCTAGAGCGGATGGGATGCTGTCCCCTGACACTCAGCAGGAGTGTGGACAGTGGTGGGGATCCTAAGGACCCAGGAAGTGCCTGGTTGGGCCCAGGCTGCCTTGAGGGAAATGGTCTAAGGAACTATCCTAAACCAAACCGACTTCCGTCCAGTTAATTCCAACTCACAGCAACCCTATAGAACAGAGTAGAACGGTCTCTTAAGGCTCCTGAGGCTGTAAATCTTTATGGGAGCAGATAGCCTTATCATTCTCTCAAGGAGTGGCTGGAGGATTTGAAATGCCAATCTTTCTGTCAACAGCCCAATACTTACAAGTTCACATAGCCACCAGGCCTTCTCAAGGGGGTCTACTGAAGGCCAAGGGTCTATAGAAAGCTTAAAATGCACTTTAATGGGAAGTACAGAGGTGGGTTTCAGAAACATGCAAAAGAAGGGGTGGAAATGGTGGTCTTTTTCCTGCGGTTCAATTTCAGCAGGCAGGAGATGGTTTAGGGCAGAGCTTGGGCTGCCCTGGAGGGAGACAAGGGGCCATCCTTGAACCCACCACTTCTGCCTTGGGAGCCCAATGGAGCGGGGACACACGCTGTTCTCACAACAAGCTACTTCCTGTTCTCTAGGACTAATTAACCCTAGCCCGTCACCCCCTGGAATAATTAAGGGGTGAGGAGTTCAAGAGGGAACTGAGTGGCGCTTCTCAAGCCCTGGCCTACTGATTACCTAGCCAGGCCTTCTAGGCAGGTGGAGTCAGGGGTGCCCAGAAGAGACTGGATGGAGGTTGTCACTAAGTCCTCGGACTGGGTTGAAGGATGAAGGTGGGAGGCTATCAGACAAACCTGGGACTAGCGATCAAGCACATCTGCCAATTTGTCAAGTAGCCTGAGTCTGACATCGCCAACAGCCAACAGCATAGTCAAGCAAGGACCGTGGGAGCTGGGACCTGGTACACAGTACCTTCTCAGGTCTCACATCTTCCTCATCTGGCACACAGGCTGACATGTGTATGAACGGGTGTATTAAATGTATGAAAGTGTTAGGATTGGTGTGCAGTGAATATGGGGTTGGCCATGTGCCTGCACCAGGCCTGGAAGCTGGGCCCCGAAGTGACTGAAACATGGGTCAGGAATTCTGGGGTGAACCCATGTGGGTGGGAACGCACCTGGATCATATAGAGCTGGGCAATGCGGTACTCCTCCACGGTCATAGGCAGGGGGATCCGGTATTCCTTTATGATCATCTTGGAGCTCGCACCTTCCCGCTGAAGGGAACTGCAAGCTGGGGACTTCTAGGCGAGGCTCCTTAAATCACCATGACAGAACTCACCAAGGGTCCCTAGGGAGAGAGAAGAGGATGATCACCATCTGTGAAGGCTGGTGGGGACAGTGGTGCTAACCCAAGGCTAGCATCCTGGGCTTGGCTCCTCTGGTAGCCACGGGCATGACCTTGAGCGAGTTCCCTCACTTCCTGGTCTCCCTTGTCCTTGTTTGCTAAGCGATCTTATAGAGTAGCCAGAAGGTCCAGGGGAGATGGCTGTGCATACTCGCTGACCAATAAGCAGTGTTATGAGGTCCAGGGCTGAGTGGTGGGTTAGATGTTTGGCTATGAACTGCAAAGTTGGTGGTTCAAATCCACTTGTCTCTCTTTGAGATAAAGATGAACCTATCTGCTCCTAAGAACATTAATAGTCTCCGAAACCCTGTATAGGATTGCTATGAGTCAGAATGGACCCGATGGCAGTGAGTTTGGTTTTGAGCCTACCAGCATGGCCAGCTTGGGAGGGGGCACTCCTTGCTCTTGTTTTTCTCAGTCTCCACTTCAAGCCCACAGAGAAGACTGGCTAGAGGCAGGCTCTCAGCTGATGCACATCCTAATGGTCACGGGCAGTAGGCAGACACAGAAACTATGCAAAGCAGACAACTCAAGAAGTGTACACAGCAACAGTCTGGGAGTCCGCGGTAGGGACGAGCAGTTCACCCTGGTCACTCGGCGCAGATGGCATCCTTGGGCCTGAGTTCAGGCTAGCCCAACAGCAAACATGTATGATGCCTACTCTTTCGAATGGTTGTCCCTGGTGGCACAATGGTTAAGCACTCAAATGCAGAGACAGAAATATAGACTACAGTAATAGAAGCACAGGGTGAAATGTTGGGCTGCAAAGTTGGTGGTTCAAACCTACTGGCTGCTCTGTGGGAGAAAGATGTGGCAGTCTGTGCCCTTAACCATGACGGACTCGGGAACCCATGGGGGCAGTTCCTACTGGGCCCTGTGGCGCCACTGTGGGTCAGAATTGACTCCACAGTACTAGGATTACTGATAGGGGCCTAGAGTCTCGGGAACCCTGAGAAGCACTTCTCCTCTGTCCTACAGGGCTGTCAGTTGTTGGAAGAGACTGACAGCAGTTGCGTTGGGCTCTTTGGTTGCAGTAAAACAAAAGTTAAGGCATTCTGGTAAGGCAGTGGTTATGAATCGGGCTGCTAACCTCAAAGTCAACAGTTTGAGACTACCAGCTGTTACGAGTGAGAAAGATGAGGTTTTCTGACAGCTTTGGAAACCTGGTAAAGGGTCGCTATGAGTTGGAACCGACTCCACAGCACATAGCCACCACCAATAGAAAGGTTGGCAGTGCGAACCTACCCAGAGGTACCTCAGAAGAACCTGGCAATCTACCTCCCATTGAAAATGCCACGGAGTAGCTCTACTCTGCACACACGGGGTGACCTTGAGTTAAAATGGACTTGACAGAAACTAATGCGGTTTCGTTTTTTTAAAAAAAACTCTGTTGCTGACATTCGAACCCATCAGTTGCCCCACGGGAGAAAGATGTAGCAGTCTGCTTCCGTACAGATGACAGCCTTGGAAGCCCTCTGGTGACTCAGCAGCACTGGGTGTTGCTGACACTGGCCTAGCTCTTGGACAGAGAAGAGATAACTATGCTAACCAGTGCACTCACAGCATCGTCTGTTTAAGATGACAAACACATATAGGAGCACATCTGTTGAAAACTGTGTTCAACGCACACAAACAGACCCGGTGCTTAAAGAGGCCCTCTCTGCTTAAAAGAACACATGATCCTCCATGTCCTGGAGAGCAAAGCAAAGGCTTACACGGCACACACCATTAGGGAGCCCCCAGAGAGATGATGTGCTAGTCCCTGGAGGCTGAGGAGAGATGCAGAATTGGGATAGCACTTTAGAAACATTCAAGCAATGTCCCCAAGGCCCCCATGTATAAGGGGCAATACTGGAGTAACACCTGCTCTGAAACATTACTGGATGTGTAACAAGATCCAGAAAATCACATTTACCAGAACTCTCTGGGAGGTCAGAGTGCGTGGCTGGGAAAGTGGTTAGGGTAGGGGTCTGGTTTGTGGGGACAGGCGTGGGAGATAGTGGGGAGGGCAGGGCTGACACTGTCCAGGAGGGCAGGAAGAAGAGACACAAGCCCCCGGGGTGGTTCTCTTGCAGCCCACCTTAGTCTTAGTCGAGCGCTGACCTCCCGACTCTGTTGCTTGCAGGCCCAGTGTAAGGGAGTCTAGCCCTTGTCTGGTTGGAAGCTGAGTCCAGAGCGAGAGGAGATGGGTCTTCTAGTCCCTATGACTCCACCACATTCAAGCAGAAGTAGGAAGCAAGGGCTACCAGGGGTGGTAGGCATTACAGTCTCCACCTCCCCAGGTCCCCTACGGCTGAGTCGGCAGGTGCCGAGGCTCCGAGGCTCAAGGCTGGAAGATGCCTGCCCTCACACAAGCTCTCCATTTATGCCCCAAGGCCACTCTTCCTGGAAGGCACTATGGATGCTCTGTCCTCCCAATGGAAATGGGTGCACACCCACAACAAAGCCAGACACATCTCAGATGAGTTGTAGAGAGTCTCAGTCCTGCCCTCGTGGGATCTTGTGTACTCCACCCACACCGGTGGCCTGATTCTCCATCACTTGGCTTTTCCAGTTCACCACAACTGCCTCCAGGCCTGAGAATTAGGGATGGGGCAGGGCCTGTGGGGCTGGACTCAGTATATGTTCCTTAAGATCCTCCATCTCCTCAAACAACACAGCTTCCAATCTCCACCACGGTGAAGCCAGGAACAGAATCTCAGTGCCTGAGGCAGTCTCCAGATGTGCAGCTCACATGTCCAGACAGGTAAACAGCAGTGCTCACCTGCCTCCTATGATCTCAGCTGGCTTCTCCCACAGACAAGCTGCCAGGTGGCAGCCACTGGGAACAGAGACCAAGAGGAGACCCAAATCCTTAGTGGCCAGAGAACCTAGCGGGCAAAGTTCAGGACAGCCTGGTGCAGCAGTAACACTGTCTGTCCTGGGGATGGCCAGGCAGCGCAAATGCCTAGGACCCAACTCCCAAAAACACTGGGTAGAGAATGACAAGTGTATTTCTTCTCACAGGAAACTAAAAATGGGCAGTGACAGTGTAGTGGATGTATAGTGTTATAGATTGATTGTGCCCCTCAACAAGACCTGTGACTGTGAGCTTATTCAGAAATAAGATCTTTGCAGATGTGATTAAGTTAGGTCGGCACAAGATCATACTAGAGCAGTGTGACCCCTAATCCAATATGGGTGGTGCCTTTATAAGAGGAAGAGACACAAAAGAAAGATGGTCAGGTGTCTCTGGAGGCAGAGGTTGGAGTGATGTGGCCACAATCCAAGGGAGGCCTGGGACCACCAGAAGCTGGAAGGGTATGAACCTCCAGAGAGGGCATGGTCCTGCCAAAACCTTGACTTTGGCTTTCTAGCCTCCATACTATGAGACAAGACATTTCCATTGTTTTAAACAAATAAACATAAATACACAGAAGGAAAGAATAAGCTCGTTCAGGCCAGCTGTAGTTAACCAAGGGTGTCTTGTACGGTTACAAGAGTGATGGGATTCCATTAGGAGCTGCATTCTGGGATCCAAGTTCAGAGACAACTGGTTACAAAATGTCAAAGGTTTTCTTATTGGCAGAATTTCCCAGACTCTATTCTATGCTCTGGTAGCGTAGTGGTTACGAATCGGGCTGTGAACCTTTAGGTCAGTGGTTCAAAACTACCAGCCGCTCCGCGGGAGAAAGATGAGGCTTTCTACTCCCGTAAAGATTTACATCCTCGGAAACCCTGTATAGGGTCGCTATGGGTCAGAACTGACTCAACGGCACTTAACAACAACAATAATCCTATGCTCATGTGCGTTTTGATTTTTTTTCTTTCTGAGAAAAATTTAAACCACCAGTTGCCATCAAGCCAAGATTTCAGAAGTCAATCGCTGGACTTTCTTTTGAGATGCCTCTGGGGGACTTGGACCTCCCTTCTTTTGGTTAGCAGCCGGTACTGTTAGTGTTTGTACCACCTAGGGATTCCATGTACTTTTTGGAGTGTCTTGCTGCTTTTTTTGCCCAACATCATGCTCATGGGATTCATGCTTACTACTACATGTTGTTGTAAACCCTTCACTCTCATTGCTGTGTAGTAATTTGTTGGGTTCATCCACTACACCTAGCTGTTCTATTGTTGATGGGCATTTCCAGTTTGAAATGGATATATGAATGGTGCTGTGGTGAACGTTTCAGTATACACAGAGACTTGATTTTACATGTGGAATGACACAGGAGGGAAAGCTGATGGAGCAATCATGTCTGAGAGCCAATTCTAAGAAGGAGCCTTGTTTTCCAGCTAAGGGAGAGTGTTGGGAGACAGACAAGGCAGGGAGGGGTGAGTCATGATGCACACAGTTAATGACCTAACCAGCCTTGCTGTGAACCACACTGACCCCAAGAGACATGGAATCCCTGGGTAAAGCATAAATAACAACTCTAGGGAGAGCGTCTGCCAGATAATCAGTTTAAAATGCCACTGAAGTCTCTCTGTGCTAACCCCATACATTCTCCACACACTGCTAATTACTAGATGCTGAATAATAATAATAATCAGAAAGAAACTAACATGGGTTCTATGCATTTAAAAGCAGGGCACACACCACAAGAATCACCAAGAAGTAAAGTTCTGGAAGCTTCTTAGATAACCAAATACCTTAAGGGAATGATTTGCTGGGTCTTGGGACTCAGGACCATAGTTTCAAAGGACGACATAGTCAATCAGCATAACATAGTCCACAAAGGCAATGTCAAACATCCTACTTTGGTGACTAGAGACTGGGACCTCAAAAGCTCCTGAATGGCCATCTGTTGGTCTCTCCCTGCCTAGAGCAAAGAAGAGTGATGAAAATTGAAGTCGCTTGTAAACAATTAGTCTAATGAACTAGTGGATCCCATGAACACCAGACTCAATGACCCTGAGACCAGAAGTAGATGGGACCTGGTTACCACTACCAACTGTTCTAAAAT